AAAGCGTTGAAAATTTACATCCTAATAATGTGCATTCAAGTATTAGGAAGGATAAACACCCAATTTTCATGACCAAGGTCTATTGTGGTTATAGCTACTACTCAGTGATCACAGCTGAGAGAGACGGTTGGAAACGTGGTTCTTGCTGAGAGCAGCAAAACAGAAACTGCTATTTTTTTCCTGTTTTTTTTAAAATAAAACCCTCCTTTTTTCCTAGCCCCTCTTCCATCCTGAAGGTATTTTAGCAGGTTCCTGCAAGGAAACATGTCCTGTCCCTGTTGGGGTGAACTCCCAGTCTCCACAGGATCTTGCTGTGTTCATCCATTCCCTGGTTGGTGCCACACAGGCTGGGTGGCTCTGCTGACCCAAAAATGCCCTGAGCAGGGCAGGGTTTGGGGCTGAGACCCCTCTGGGAGCGATGGGGGGTAGCCATCCCAGCACACTCAGGATGGCTCTGGAAAGTCCTGTAGGGACTGACAGGGCCCAGCCAGGCTCTCGCCAGGCTCTCCTGCACTGGTGTTGCCATGCCACACCACACTGTCTGGGGCTACCAGGCTGGAGCTCACCATCACCCCTGCAGGGCCAGCCCAGCACATTCCTCTTCTAGGTTATTTTTAACAGGGCTTCCATCCCAGTGCTGCTCCAGAGTGTGGATCCACTCCCTGCCGGTGTCCATGTGCTGCTGGGGATGGCAGGATCAGAGGGGATGTGGCCATGTGCATCTCTTCCTTGGAGATGCTCCAGGACACATCAAACCTCAGGCTCAGGAGGTGGGAATGGGAGCTGGAGGGCTCTGCTGGCAGAGCAGGTGCCCATTTGTGTCACTGCACATCCCTGCAACCACCAGCGTGGCTCATGCACAGAGACATAAGGGATCATGTGCTGGAGCCATTCCCAGGGAACTGCTGGAAAGAGGGTGGGAATGGGTTGGCACCCACCAATCACCTCAGCCTGGAGGTGCCCCTGAGTGCTGACACACATCGCTGTCCCCACAACCTGGGGACCGCCCCTCAGGGCTGCCTTGGCCCCTTGTGCTCATTCTTGTGCTTCTTTCCCAGCCAAAAAGACAGCAGAGCTCCCACTATCCACTCCAGCCCCTGCTGGAATCCCCAAAACCAGGGGAGGACCTCAGGAGGACTCACCAAGCACTAACTGGACTTAATTGCCTGTAGGACCTGCAGGTGCTGGGCCAGGAGCATCAGTGAGGCTCAGCCCTGGTCCTTCAGGCCTTGGCTGGGCTTCTGTGTTAGGTAAAGCTCTGTTGGGTCTGATCTCCTCGCTGGTCCCTGGATCTTCACTGCAAGAATCTTGTCTCCAGCCACATTTGCTGGCTGGAGCCCAGACCGACCAGTTTGTCTCTGGCCCTGCACCTGGCTGGACCCACCTTTGCTGGAGCCTTATCTGTAGCCCCTGCTCTGTCTCCTCCTGATCCTGACTGGGGTCCCTGTCCTGGTTCATCTGATCTTGTCTGGGGCTGCCCAGGGATCCCATCACCACTGCCCTGCTCAGACACCCTGGGATGGCCCCTGGCTTTGAGGACACTGTGTGTTCTGGATCACACTTGGGTTCCCATTTGCTGCCCACCATGGAGCAGCCCTATCCTTGCTGCTCCCTGAAGGAGAGCACAGGGAGCACCATGCTCTGGATCTCTGTCCCTGCACAACCACTCACAGGCCTGGCTCCCTGGAGACCTTTGGAGGGCAGTGGGAGCTGCTGGAGGGCTCTCCTGGGATCCTTTGTCATCTCCCCACATTTGAGCTGTTGATCTTGAGCTCTCCAATGTCACGTTTTCTCTTCCTTTTCTCTGTATCATCATCTCCTTTCCCTGAGCCTGTGGTTCCCCCTGTCCTGGGGGACTTTCAAGGATCTTTCTTGGTCTCCTTTGCAGGGAGCACAGCCCCACAGCAGATTCCTGGGTGATTTGGAGGACCAAGGGGATGTGGAGCACCCCATCCCTGTAGCCCTCATGAGAACTTAGTGGCTCACACCTCAGGGAGCTCTTGACCCATTGATTCTTCAATACCCCAAATGATTTTCCCTCTCTCTTTTTAAGGAGACTTAATAAGACTTTAAGGACTTATCCAGCTTTTGACTAGCCAAGATGTGAAAGATGATCTCCAGTTTCCCTAGCTCAGGGCTCCAGGAGATTCCTCTCCCTGGGAATGGTATGGGGGGGGACACCCCGTCCTTCACCTCACCTAACTGGGGCTTCACTGAAGGCTGTGGGTGGTCCAGACTTGAGCCTGGGGGATCCTTGGCCCCTCTTTCTCCAGAGCAGCAGGTTCCAGCAGCGCCCTGGAGTCAGGTGGGCCTGGCACAGATGAGTGGGACAAGGGGAATGATGCTCCGGGGACAGTGGTGGCAGGATGTTCCAGATGAGCCAAGCAGAGCCTGTGAGCAGCTCAGGGCAGGGGAAGCACAAAGCCAGCCGGGGTTCTGAGAGGGCCGCCAGCCACACGAGATCTTATCAGGGCACTTTTCTCCTCCCACTGCTGCTGCCTTCTCCTAATGAAACCTGCTTGTTCCGTCTCTGGGGAGCTGAGCAGTGCCTGGGCGTTCTTCCACACTGGTTCAGCACCTGTGGAGCCTGCCTGGTGCCTTGCCAGGGGGAACAGCCATGGGGGGGATCTGAGCAGTGGGAGATGGTAAGGTCTACCCTGACTTGTTCCTGCAGCAGAAGGAGCCACATAAGCTGGTGGTTTGAAGGTGGGACTACCATGACTACCAGAACACATAGGAAGGTGGGACGAATTTTCTGGAATCTTCCGTTTAGTCTGTTGGCTGCATTTTCTGCTCATTGCAAGTTTGGGGCTTCCCCCCACCACACACAAACACCCCTTAGCTCAGAGATCTGGGATTCAGGTGGGATGGCAGAGTCTTGCACGTTATGAGAGATGACTTCTAGCCACACCCAGATGTGAGAGAGACACTGCCAGACCCAGTGATAACTCCCCACACACAGGATCCATCCAAGTGGGTCTTACACCCATGGCAGTCAGCAGTGAATTTACTATCTTGATGATGACTTGTCTGTGCTGCCTGGGCTCAGGCAGATGTGACACACATCTGATGGCATTTTGTTCAAGTGGTGTCACATCTGGATGGGCTGGAGAAGCTGCTCAAAGGAGGTGCCTACAAAGTGGTGTCTGCCCTGCAGGGGCACTGAAGGCCTCCATGATACCTCCCCTGGAGAAGGTGGCCCTAGGCAGGTTCTCCTGGCGGCTCCACAGCCACACAGGGACCAGGAGGTGTGAGATGCCAAATGCCACCCTCACAGCAGGGAGGCACCAGCAGTGGGACCGAGAGCTTTGCCATATACAAAGATGTGAGGAAGCAGAACCTGTCCCAGCTGCTCAGGGGTTTGGGGATCATCAATCCCTCTTGGGTTTGGGGATCGGAAAACCTTGCTCTGCAGTGGGTCAAGCAGAGAGTGGGACTGGGGAGCAGGGCCAGACAGATGTCCCCCAGGTAGCCCAGTGACTTTCTTTGAGCATCACTAACACTGTGCAGCCTGATGTATGATGTGATCTTCATCAAAGCCACAGCACGGCAAGAAAGAGGCAGGGAGAGACAGAGCACACGCCTGCCTGCTCCGTGTGCTCAGGGATGGCAGTGCCTGCGTGGCTGTAGCATTATGCTGCGAACTCCTGTCGCCAAGGGTCACATCAACCACCCTCTCCCTCTCTGCCCTCACCATGCTCTGCCTCTCGTCCCGGCCGTGCTGCAGGTGAGGCTCAGCCCTTTTCAGAAGAGGGTTGTTTCCAGGACGGTGTGTCCGGAAGATACCGAGGTTTAGCTCACATAAAGGAAGGTGTGCGAGCATGCCTGGGAAAGAACCAGGCATCCTAGGGCAGAGCTGAGCATCCCCAGGACAAAATCGGAAATGCCGGGGGCAGAGATGGGGGCATCTTTGCAGTAAATCAGACATCCTGGGGCAGAGACGGGCGTATTTGCAGTCAAACAGGCATCTTGGGGCAGAGCTGAGCATTCTCGAGGCAGAGATAGGCATCCCTGGGGCAGAACCGGGCACCCTGGGGCAGAGCTGAGCATCCCCGGGACAGAACTGAGCATCCCTGGGGCACAGCTGGATATTCTGGGGCCAGAGTCGGGTATCCAGGGCCAGAGCTGAGCAGCCCTGGGGCAGAGCCGAGCAGGGCTCGGGCCGGTGCTGTCCCCAAACCCCCATCCCGGCGGCCTGCGGGGCTCCGAGGCTCCCCGGCCCCGGTGCGGGGGGGATGCGGTGCAGGGGGACGCGGGCTCAGCCTCCCCCGCCGCCGCCGCCGCCGCCTCATCAATAGGCAGCAGACCCCGCTCCCGCAGCGTTGCCGTGGAAACCGGCGGAGCCGCCGCCATTGGAGGCCCGGGGTGCGGCGCAGCCCCCCCGGGGTGCCCGGCCCGGCTCCGTATTGATGACTCGGCAGCGGCTGCGCCGGGGGCTGCCCGGGGCCGCGGCGAGGGGCTGGCAGCTCCCCCGGCCCCTCCGCTACGTCATGGGGCCGGGGGCGGCGGGGGGCTGAGGGCGGCGGGAGCAGCGTCCGCACGGGGAGCCACCGATCCGGGCGGGGACGGAGCCAGCCCCGGTGCGGGACGGAGCCAGCCCCGGTGCGGGGATGTCACCGCTGCGGCCGCCCCCGGTCCCGGCGCGGACGAGCGCGGCCCGGGCTGCTCCCGCCGCCGCTCTGATGCCTTCGGCTTTCCCTTGCCGGCTCCCGACGGCCCGGGCAGTCCTGGCCGGTGCGGAGTGAGCCCAGCCCTGCCCCAGCCATGCAGGAGCCGGAGCGCGGCGTGCCCAGCGCGGCCCCGGGGCAGAGCGGTGCCTCCGCCGCCTCCGCCCGCCCGGACCTGGAGACGCGTGAAGGCGCGGGGGGTGACACGGCCAGCTGCCAGCTGTCCCTGGGGTCGGAGCGGGACGGAGCACCCCAGCCCCAGGAAGAGTCCTCGGGAATCCCCCGCTACCCCCCGCCGGACCCCCAGCGGGTTCACTCCGCACCGGAGCTCGTCAGGCCGCTGCGAGAGATGGACCGGACAGACAGACCCCCCCAGGTAAGGCGGGGGTCGGGCTGTGTTTGCTCATTCTGGGGGAGAGGCGGGAGGATGTCACCTCGGTACGAGATGGGCACGGGGAATTGGGATCGCGGGGCTGCGGCTGAGCCACCCACAAAACCATCCTGGTGGGGCTGGCACCTGCCACAGCCGCTGCCGCACACCCGCAAGAGAGAAGGGAGCTTTTGCTGCCCTTCAGCAGGGATTTCCAGCTGCCTCTGCCCTGGAAGACGTTGGAGCTGGTGCAGGGTCTTGCCGGAGCCCTGACGGGGCCAGCACTGGGCAGAGCCCACTTGGAGCAAGCACAGCCCTGCACCAGCCACAGCTAAGCCATCCGTGCGGCATCGCCCCGTTCCGGCAGCAGCAATGGCTCTGCAGGTAGTGGCAGGGACGTGATTCACTGCCACCCTCTTCCAGAGCATCCCCTCTCCTCTCTGGGGAGCCCTGGAGGGCTTGGGCCACCTCCACTGCAGGAATCGGCCCCTGCAGGCAGCACCCGGGCACCTCGGGGCAATGCAATGCCCGGCCCCTGCAGCATCTCCCTAAAAACAGCCCAAAAGGCTTCCTCAGGGTTTCACCGCCCTGATCTAGATCACAGAAGTTCATCGGCTCACCCTGTTTAGGACAGCTTGCCACCTTTTGCCTTGGGGAACATCAGTCATCTTCCTGGGGTCTCCTGGGATCTTGGGAAGCTCTGTGGTGCTTTAATAACAGGGGAGAAAACGGCTCTTGACCTTTTCATCTTAAGCACAGGGGAGAAGAGCTGACCAGCGCTGGTTGGGGTTTAGCATGGGTGTTTTGAGCAAGGCTGTGCCGTACTGCTGAGCCCAGCTGGAGAGCAGCCTGGAGCAGCCTGCAGGAGAAACGGCACCCCTGGACACCCATCGAGGAAGAGCATGATTTCACTCCAGCACAGTTTGTTAAGGCTCTGTTCTGAAGGGCTGTTTATCGTGATGCTTAGGGAAAGACCACGTTAAACCTTGGTCTGACCCCAGCCCTGGCTGTGCCAGGAGCACCACAGTCAAAACAGGGGACAGCAGAATGGGATGGATTTCTGTTCCCACCCCTCTCTTGTATCTCAGGAGTCCAGTTGGTTCTGCCAGACTTACTGTCTTCAGAAAATCCTGGAATGATTTGGTTTGGAAGAGACCTTACAGACCATCTCATTCCAGCCCCTGCCATGGGCAGGGACACCTTCCACTAGACCAACTTGCCACAAGCCCTGCCCAGTGTGTCCTGGAATGCTTTCCTTTGGAAGAACCAGCTGGCCAGGGAGGGAGTAGGTACTGTGTCCTGGTGGGACCCTGGGTGGGAAGGCTGGGATTGGAAAGAGGGCAGGTGGTTGGTTCAGAGGGGTGTTTGTGGGTGCTCCAGCAGCTGAACTGCACCTGTGGGGTGGGAGCTGTGCACCAGTTCTTGCTGATCCCTGCAGTGGGTCCCCCTCATTGGTCTCTGTGGAGGTGATTGCTGAGCACCTGCCATCTAGTTTGCCTTGGTCCTTGGGCTGCACCGAGTGTTTTCCTGTGATTCTGGAGGGTCCTGGCTGTGTGGGAGCCTTCCCATGGCATTCTGGCAGCACCACGGTAGTACCACCATAGCACCATGTACTGGGGCAGCACGGTGGTGAGATTGGTGGTGCTGTGATGTGCTCTGGTGCCAGGGTGATGGTGCCGTGGAACCGGTGTTACTCTGCTGCACCATGGCAGTGCCACAGTAGCACTGTGATGTCATTGGGGTGGTGCTGCTGGTACCATGGCAGTACCATCCTTAACATTGATGTTGATCTCCAGAAAGGTTACCTTGTGTTTTCCCGGGAAAAAAAAAAAACAAACAGCAGTTTCTTCTGGAGCCAAGTGGCTTTAGGGATATGAAAGGCTTCCAGTTCAGCCCTAGGAGGGAGCTCAGTGCTGCTGTCAGCAGCAGAGCAGGTGCTGGGGTGTGGAGCAACACCCTCCTGGGTGTCAAGGGGGACACCTCAACCTGAGGATAAGGTGCTGTGTTAGGGCTGGGGCCAAGACAGGCTTGCTCAGCTCCCCTCCAAAGTTTGGCTGCTCCTGGCCAGGCTGGGAACACACCCTGCGAGTCATGCTACCAGAGCCAGGCTTCCTTTAGGACATTTGTTCTTGGGATGTCAGAGCTGCATAATGTGAACAGGACAGCTGCCTCCAGGGAGTCCTCTCCTGGTGTGGGGAAGAGCCTCCTGAGGGCTCATCACTGACAGAGGTGATTAAAGATGTTGATTTCATGATGAAGCTCTTGCTGTGTGTCCCAGCCTTTGCCACCACTGCTCAGCCATTCCCTCTGGGACAGGCTGTGGAGAGGCATTAAGACTGTCTGTAGGTCAAGTTAATCTTGGCGTTCTTGCCTGGGTCTCTCCTGAGTGCAGTGTGGAGAGCTGTTGCCCTTCTTCCATCTGGGAGCTGGCAGAGGACCTCTGGAGTTAGGGAGGTGGGACAAGGGGGACACACCTGGAGCCTGCCTTCCAGCCCCTGCCCCCAGAAGGCTCCAGAGATGGAAGAGGCTGATCATGTCCTGACCATGCAGGAGTTGAATATCTCCAGGGACTGGGATCCCACCAGAGGAATGCTCTCTATAGCCTGGTGGGAATTTTCCTTGTGATTTGTGCCCATGTCTCTCCATCCATTTGTTACGTGTCCCTACATCCTGCAAGGCACTGCAGTCTTGCCCAGCTTCTCAGCAGATCAGTGTGTCCCACCATGGCCCCACTGGATAATGCTCTCTGGGGGCTGTCACAAGTGTATCCTTCCTCCTGGGCCTTTGGAATTTTTCTGGTCCTGCTTCCCAAAATTTCTGTGTGGACATGAGACATAAGAAATTACTTTTCTGCTGAGATTCTCCAGGCACTGCAGGGGTAGGATCCCAATCCAAATAATGAATATCAGAGAAGCAGAAAAACATTGTCTGTGTAGGAAGAATGGAGTTAAAGTGGCACAGATACAGTCTGTCTGGAAATTGGAAAGTTCCCAGAATGCTGTCAGATGGATTTTAGAGCACTTCCCACAAGAGTTCAGTTGCCTGCATCTCCCAGGGTATGCTGCTCCAGAGGGATCTGCTTTGGCCCTGGAAAACTCAGGGTAGTTTGGGAGTGGGTTGCTGAAGGGAAAGCTCCCTCCTGGTGCCCTACATTGGCAAGGGAAGAGGATCAAGGTCGTTCACTTTCTGTATATTCCCTGCATCCTTCCCTTCCAGGATTACTCATCTCCCCAAGCTCCCCAGATCACTCATGGAAGGGATGAGCTCAGCAGCTGACCATTCCCTGTTCCCATCCCAGAACCACACAGGCAAGGGGCACAGTTAGGGTGTTCTGAGCTGGTTTTCGTGACTTCTTCTCAATCACAAGAGGTTGCTTTGGATCTGAATTTCTTAAAATCCAAGCCTCAGCTTCCCTTGAGGTCATGTGGAGCTGAAATCCATAAACCCAACTGAAAAAGCTTAAATCAAGGAGCCCTCCAGTGAGAAGGAATTTAAATAGCCACAAACCTCCCCCGTTGGTCCCAGTGAGGCTTAATAAAACAAAGCAGAGAGACAGGAAGAATTATAAAATGCTGATAAATATCCTCCATGTCAAGTGCTCAGGCCAAGCTGCATTTAATGATAAGTTCAGTGCCTTTTGCAGGAATTTGTGGTCTTTCCAGAGCTTCAAAATTTCCATTGGCAAAGCTTGAAAGCTGTTCATTTAGTGTCTGAGGGTATGTAGAGCTGCACCCTTGACTGCAAAGGATAGGTCAGCAGAATGAAAGATGGCAGTAGGACAGGGAGACCTTGGGCAATGGAGCCAGTTCTTGCCATTTCCTGCAATCTCAATTAGAAGATTGTATTCCATCATGCTCAAAATCTGAGTAAATTAATTTTCCTTGGTTTGGCAGTGCTCAGCCTCATGCAAATGCCTTAGTACTGCTTGCTGCAGTACTGTGGATGCATGGCCACCTCAGGCAGCTGTCTGCCAGGAGGAGCCAGTGCCTCTATTTGTAGGAGTGAATGGAAAACAAGGCAAAGTGAGACTAGGAAGGAGAAGGTGATGCTCATATCCTCATTTTAGCTCCTTTTCTGATTAAATTCACACCTTTCTGTGCAAAGACATGTCCAAATGGCTCGGCCAGGTCACTTGTGTGGGACATGGAGGGTGAGGGACACCAAACATTGCCTCCTTCTTGGCTCCTCTGGGCTGGTGGGATTTGGGACAGGGCTGTCACACTGTGTTGTGTTGGCCATTGCCAGACCATGACCAAGATGAGCAAGACCACTGATCCCAACCTAGAATCACAAAATCCCAAACTGGTTTGGGTTGAAGGGACTTTAAAGCTCATCCCATTCCACCCCTACCATGGCAGGGACACCTTCCACTGTCCCAGGCCGCTCCAAGCCCCAATGCCCAGCCTGGCCTTGGGCACTGCCAGGGATCCAGGGGCAGCCACAGCTGCTCTGGGCACCCTGTGCCAGGGCCTGCCCACCCTCACAGGGAAGGATTCCTTCCTATCTAATCATACCATAGCCTAGGCAACTAGAACAGGTTTTTAGCTAATGGGACCCAAAATAAAAGGTGTCCTTGAGCCCTGGGAAGCTGCCAGAGATTTGGAAAACAGAAAGAAGTGGGTGAGAAACTGCAGTCCAGATTTCTGGACAAAAACTGACTTGTACATACGAAATCTGCCCCTCAGGTCCCTGATGTACTCTGCTAGGTGGAAGAGCAAGTATACCTCTTCAGAACTGGACATGGTGAGGAATTGAGTATTTCCACTTAATCAAAGCACATCTGTGATCATGGATGTTGCTGCTGAGGCCCTGTGGTGAGAAGGAGAGTTAGTGTTGACTTTGCAAGCCATGATCCTCTTAGAGGGCTGTGGCTCTTCTTTATGGGCAGGGGATTTACTGAGCTGCAGCTCAGTGGCTTCCCAGGGTGAAGGCAGAAGTCTCATGCCTTTCTTGGGAGTGTTTTTTTTGGATTAGAGTTTCTGTTACAGGGAAGATGAGATATCAGA